CCAAAGCCCCAGTAGATAGTTGTATGTCATAGCTGCACATCCTTCTAGTTGCTGTATGTGGGACTCGGCCTCAGGATGGACGGAGAAGTGGTGCCTCGGTGCGCGTCCGGGATCCGAACCCGGGTCGCCAGCATCGGAGCGCGCACACTTAACCACCAAGCCACGGGGCCGGCCCCTCATTGTGGTTTTAATTTGCATTTCCCTAATGACTAGTGATGCTGAGCATCTTTTCACGTACTTGTTGGCCTTGTATATCTTTGTTGAAGAAATGTCTACTCCAGTCCTTTGTCTATTTCTTAATTGGGTTATTTGCTTTTCTGTTGTTGAGTTGTATGAGTTCCTTATATATTTTGAATATTGACTCCTTAAAAGATACACGGTTTGCAAATATTTTTTCTCTTTCTGAAGGTTGTCTTTTCACTTTGTGTGTGCTTTCTTTTGCTATGCAGAAGCTTTTTAGATGGGGTCCCACTTGTTTATTTGTGATTTTGTTGCTTATGCTTTAGGTCACATATCAACACATAGGTTTTATTTGAAGTTTAAGAAGAAAAAATGGGCAATCAGAAACAGGGGTAAGATGTGGGCATATAGGTATTTTTCACATAAGACTTCACATCCCAAAATATTAGCTTACTATAGAATTCTGTCATCTATTCTTGCTTTTGTCTAAACAAAGAACAACAAAAATCCCAACCTGCATAGTATAAACAATGATCGTCTAGTTCCATCAAAAGCTCTTCATTCACTCAGCAAATATTTGAGTCCCTCTTATGTGCTGGCCTGGAGAGCAAGGAGGATCAAGAGACATTCTCTTCCTTTGAGTAGCTCATTGTCTAATGGACAATATGGATAAACAACCAGATAGTTAGAAAGACCTGTGTTAAGAGCCACGATAAAGATGAGCATGGGGTACTATGGGAGCACTGGGGAAGGCCACCTAAGCCCAAGGACTTCCAGGGGAGAGCTTTGACATTTGAGTAGGAATTAACCAGAGGAAACAGAGGTGGAAGTAGTCTCTAGAAACAGAACCACCATAAGCAAAGGCAGAGAGGTATGAGAGAGAAGAGTAATTACTTCAGTGTGACTGCAGCACAGATGTAAGGAGGGCTGAGAGAGATGAGGCTGGACAGGCGGTCCTGAATATAAAATTTTGAATAGGACTTTTTCGCTGTTTTATAAAAACACCTTAGTTCCTTAATTGCATTCAAAATGTATTTTGTTGAGACCAAATATAATTTCTTTCCTACTTCTGTTTGGCTATGTATTTTTTAAAAAACCTCTTCTCCTTGGAGAGCAGTAAATGACAGACAGACGTAAGTTTTGTGCAAATGTCAATTACAGTTGGATCATAAATTACACAGCAACGACCTGCCTTCACCAGTTGACATATAGCGGGGGACTTTGGGAAGTACTGAATACCTGAAGATAAATCAACTCCTCCTCTGGGAGGTGAGTTTATTCTTCTTTGAACTCGCAGGGTCTTGAGTGTCTGCACAGCTTGGGAGGGAGGCCGTGGTATGGAGCACCTGGTTCAGCCTCTCACTGGGGGAGAACTGAATCTTCGTTTCCGACCTCTTCTCCCCAGGGAACTCGCAGAGACTCCTTTGCTGCCTCAGATTGCCCTGTCATCTGTCAGGTGTTACAGAGGTCGACAGTGGGGGAAGTCTCTGGAATCTCAGCGACGGGGTCTGGAACCAAAGGGGGTCTAGCCCTCCCTCTCCTGGGCGTAGCGATACGTAAGCACCGCGTGTACCAGAGACAACACGGTCAGAGGGCAGCTGACAGACAAACCAATTCCACCCTGAAAACGCTCCCAGGCTTTCCACATCGACTTGCCTGCACCGACTCTGGGCATCAGAATGTCTTTTCTCCAACTCTCCTGACAAACTCTGGACTCTGAAAGGTTCCTTTGCACCAGTTAAGCAAATCATCACTTATTAGCAACTTTAAGTAACCTCCAGTTCCTTTAGATGACTTTCATTCTTCTTTGTCCTGGATATTTTTAAATGACGGATAAAAATATCTATTCTCAGAGCTGCATGAGATAAAAATGTTTGCCCCGAAAGGAATGACTTCTTGATTTAGGTAAGGCTTCATTTCAAAGAGTATATCTTAAATAGAAATACAGTTCATATGAAATTAAAATCTGACAAATTCATTGTGACATAGTCTATTTTCTCCACTGCAATACTTTTTATGGAGTTAAAAAAAGAAAAAAAATCAAGGTAAACTTGGTAAATGGAGCAGAAGAACAACGAAGCACAAAACAGAAACATACTTATTCTGAGACCTAGGCCATGTCCTAAGAAGAAAGTGGTTCCTGTTTGTTGGCAAGAAGAGAAAACTGCTAGACACTATGTCTCCTGCACAATAGGACAGTAAGAAAAGTGTATCTCGGCTGAGTAAATCAAGAGACTGACTCCTTCTGCCAGATCTGGGAGGAATTTCTCTTCTCTATTAACCTTTGATTAACTGCTGTTAAACACTTCTTAACACTGCAATAATTGCTTTATATAACTCAATTTATCATTACAACTATAAGATAGGCGCTACTGTTAGCCCCGTTTTACCAATGAAGGAACTGAAGCTCAGAGAGGTCAAGGAACTTGCTCAAGGTCACACAGCCAGTAAGCTGCAGAACCTAAAGTCAAACCCTTGTCAGTCTGACTCAAAAACCGTTTTCCTGAACTTTTATACTGTATACTGTACTTCCTTTACCTCGTGACAATGCTGAGTTCATTAAGAAGTGAGAAACCACTTCTATGTAAAGTATTCCCGTGGACCTCATGTAATCCTGAACTATTTAACAAAACTGTTCTGTGGGGTTTTTCTATCCCTGTGCTACCCCATCCGCACACCTGTATTCCCCATCCATCCCTCTAGGCGTGGAGGGACTAGCAGGACAGGGTAGCTAAAGCTAGCACCTTTGCAAAGCATTTTGTTTCAAGGTGTCCCATTTCGTTACCTCATTAACGAATGGCTACAAAGAATCAAAGAGAACAACAATCTGTCCACCCCTTGACCCCCTCCTTTGACCCAACTTACTCCATGGAGTCGATGATTTTTTTTGGCTCCACAGGGCATGGATAGATGACTTCATCGATGTGCTTCAGGTTACAATTTGAATAGGCAGTAGAGATATGTATGAAGGCTTCGAGCTTTGGCATCTGACTGGCCATAAGCAAGAGCTGCTGGGTGGCAGCGACGTTTAGTTGCACGGCATGTCTAGAGAAGATGAAGCGGAAGGAGACACAATGAGGCCACTCAGCATCCTGCCTTGCTGTACGTCACCTACTCCAGTCACTGGCAGAGCCATCTGATTTTTGTGGCTGCCTCAAAGGACCAGGAAGAAAAGTATGAGTCATGACTACACAGTTATGTGACACTTGGAACGTGTTATATGTGGGTGATGTACCCTGTGCACATAAATCTTATTCATTGAAGCATTTGTGCATATTGCATTTAGAAGTCATGGTTCTAAAAACAACTGGAAGGAAAAAAATCACAATCCTCTGAGTTTATAAAGAAGCTACTTAAGCAGCCATTAAAAGAACAAAAATATGTAAATTAAGCATCGATTCAAGAAGTTGGAAAATTTAAATAAATTGGAGGAGAGCAACAGTGGATATAGAATGAGAATTATAAGTTTCTAATGCAAAGGTCCAGGTCAGACATGAAAATTGATGTCAAAATCCTAAATTTTAGCTAATAGAATAGAAAGCCACATAAACACAATATGTGATAACAATGAAATAGTTCTTTCCAGAAATACATGGTTTATACAATATTAGGAAACCTATTAATGTAATTTAATTCAAAAAGAGAAAAACTATATGATCATCTATATATATTTTGAAAAGTTGAAAAATGACATTCAATATCCATTTCCAATCAAATTTTTAAAATATATATATATCAATGTGTTATCCTGTATCATGCTTAATAGCCAGCCCGGGAGATCTGGTGGTTAAGATTTGGCGCTCTCACCACAGCATCCAGGGTTCATTTCCAGGTCAGGGAACCACACCACTTGTCTGTCGGTTGTCATCCTGTGGCAGCTGCGTGTTGCTGTGATGCTGAAAGCTATGCCACTGGTATTTCAAATACCAGCAGAGTCACCCATGGTGGACAGGTTTCAGAGGAGCTTTCAGACTAGACAGACTAGGAAGAAGGACCTGGCCACCCGCTTCCAAAAAAATTGGCCATGAAAACCCTTTGAATAGCAGCGAACTATTGTCTGATATAGCGCTAGAAGGTGAGAGGATGGCGAAAAAGACCGGGCAGGGTTCCGCTCTGCTGTCCACAGGGAAGCTAGGAGTCGGAATCAACTCCATGGCACTAACAACAACAATCATGCTTAATGGTGAAAGTTGAGCACTGCTTTTCAAGTCAGGGCAAGAACGATGTCTACAACACCACTACTGCTTCACAGTGCTCTGAAGTTCCAGCCTTGTCATTAGAGAGGAAAATAAAACTAATGATCAGATCTAACATTGTAAAGACAGTCAGGAAAATCACTATCAGATTATATAATTGTATATCTGGAAAACAGCAACTATACAAATAAAAATCAGAGAGTAAAATGGAAGAAAAGCACACATTCAAACATTTAAAAAACATATCAAATTAATAATAAATGAATAGGCTCTATATAAAGAAAACCATAAAACTTCATTAAGGGTCAGAACAGAAAAATTGAATAAATAGAAAGACATATATGGTTCTTGGACAGGAAGAACCAATGTTTTAAATATGTTTTTCTAAATGAATCTACATATTCAAGGTAATCCCAATCAAACTCTCAACACTTTTAAAAACTTGGCAAAATTATTCCAAGTTTAATCAAGAATGTAAATAAGTGAGACTAGTCAGGAAAATCTATAAAAAGAGAATGATGTGTGTATACTTCCCTAATAAAATAAAAATTACAGTAATTAAAATACTGTGGTACTGGAAGAGAAAGCCTAATTAATGGAAGAAAATAAAGAGTTCAAAAATGGGAATTTAATATATTGTAAGAGTTTCCTTTCAAATAAAGAGTGAAAATAAATCATTTAATAAATGTCATTTAAGAAGTGACCATCTGTTAGAAATGTTTTAAAAAGTTACTGTACATTAACACCTACACTACTCTTCTTTTTACAGAAGTTTCCTGACTATTCCTCTTTATAGCTAAATAAATTTTAAATGAGTCAGAGATTTAAATGTAAAAATAAAACAAAAATACTGGAAGAAATTATAAATAACTGCATAAAGAATAAAAACAGTTGAGGACAAATGATGAACTATTAAAACATTTTGAACTTTATAAAAGAGTTAATATGCTAACTCTTCCAAGAAGTTTTAAAATTGACAAGAAAAAAATGTTTCAAGAAAAAAATAGGTAAGGAACATGAATAGGCATTTCACAAAAGAATAAAATGCCAATAAGCATTTAAACATCTTCAACCTTTCTAATTATCAAATAAATAAAAATCGAAAGATGCAATGCCATTTGCATTATCATATTGACAATGTTAAATAGAATTAAAACATTATAATACAGTGTTGTTCATGTCAGACATGAGATTCATGTGCATAGGGACAGTGTAAATGGATTCCACCTTTTGGAAAAGCAATTTAGGATCACATGTCAAAATGTAAGCTGTTCATAACCTGGGCACATCTGGTACATATCTGACAATTCTACTTCTGGGAACTTACCCAAAAGGGAACGCGCCCAAAGGTATAAAAAAAAACATATGCACAGAGATGTTCATTCAGAATTGTTTATAATAGTGAAAAACTAGAACAATCCAAAAAATGTCCATCAATACAGAACTGGTTGAGTGTATTACAGACAATTATGTACAATGGAATGTCAAGTAGTCATTACAAATTATAATAGAACATTTATTGACAATGAAAGATATCCAAAAATATAATTGAGCAGCTTGCAAAACATCATTCTCAATATGATGCCATTTTTTTTGTAAAATTGAACATAAATCTGTTTTATTATGGCTGCATAAAGAAATGCCAGAATGGATGTTCTCCACAATATGAAAGGGTTATCTCTGGATGGTAAGATTTTGAAGAAGTTTTACTCCTTTGTATTCTTTTTTCATTGAGAATACATCTTTGTTTTTTAACAGAAAACATAAAGAAACTTAGACAGACATGGGTGCACACCACGTATACATAGAAGCCACGAGAGGGAAATGGGAATGTACCTCAGATGGTCGTCAAAGCGTACAGTGGCGGCACAGTGGAAGACGATGTTTGTGCAGGAGAGAAGCTCCTGCGTGTCCTCCTTGCTGATGGCAAAGTCGCTCTGATTGAGATCTGCAGAGATAGCTCTGATCTTCTCATGCACATGTGGACAAACTTCTTTGACTTTTTCAAAGAGCTAAAACATAAATATAAATCAATATACAGAGATCATCATCACCATCACATTGTTCTTGTTTTCACTGACTTGTTTCATTATAATTCTCAAAGACTGATTTTAGGTGTACTAATGTCACTCAAAGAAGGCATCTACTCAAGAGCCATTTGCTTTATTTCATGCAATTCAAAGTCAGCTTAGTATAATTCCTGCTCCTTTTCATCTGATAAACATTTGAACTTCAGTTCCAAAAACCAGGAAGGAGCGTGTTTTGAGCTGTTTCTGCGGCGTGAAGGAGTGAACGTAAGTCATTCATATCCTGCTCCATCTTCTTGTCCCCTGTAAGGCAGCTTCGTGTTTATACATGGTGACTTTCCATTTTTCACTGGGAAATATTGTTTTCAGTGCAAAATTACCAGCATTTACACAGCCTTTACAAATTACCAGCCTTTACAAAGGAGGGCTCATGAGCACAGGTTAGAAACAACTTGTTTAACTGGCCCAGATCAACGAGACATTTTAGCAGCACAAACATAATTGGAAAATAAATAACAAATCAAGCAAATTTTTAAGAAGTAAAACAAATAAAAATTTTATATAATCTCATTCTAATATAAATGGCAGTTATTGTCTAGTAAGAGAATTACATGAGCTCATGTACTTTTTATGGGATTTTAATTGATTTTTTTAATATTCTAATTTATACAAGAAAAAAGAAAGAGGTGGTGGCAGTTTTAGCTTTTATTACAATTATTCAGATGGATTGGAGTCTCTACTTTCCCCTTCACATGGAAGTTCTTAGATTAAATTGGTATTTTCCATTTTCTCAGAAAATATGATTTTAATAAAATGATCTTGGTTCCAACCTATTTTGATAAAATGGAATTTTACTGTAATATTGGCATGGTATGTTAACAGTGAGGAAAAGGAAAGTAAGGCTAAATGTTTAGAAAGGTTAAGAGGAGAGAAAATAAATCTGTGGTTTTAATCATAGTGAAGTGGCAGAGACAGCCCTCTTCTCCCCTTTAACCACAGACGAATTTTCATTATTTCCTCAATCCTTAGTAGCAGCCTTTTCTCTCCATTAGAGAGCTACCCCGGGCTTTTTTATTAGGCACTAAGAAATTGACCTCAGATAGTCAGAGAAATCATGTCTCATTTGTACTAGGCAAGACCATGTTCAGAGGCCATCCTGGGAATTCAGTAAGAGTGACTGTGGAAGAGAGTTGAATCCATATATTGTCCTGGCAAGTTAATATACTTCTGTCTCTGAGGTACCATTTTTCTGCACTATAGGGTCAGTGGGGTGTTACTATAATTCTGAAAATAATTTGGAAGTTAGGTCAATCTTCAGTACTTTTTTGATGTCTGGGATTGAGAAGGTCGATAAAGCATCTGAGAGACATTCTCAACAAAGGTCATTCTGGCTCTTCCAGAATGATATTTAACAGCTCTTCTAATCTTGATGAATCATAGCCTGAAAAATATTTGCTTTCATAGTCAAATGTTTTCCTTCTTGTAGTTCATGTTCATTGTACAACAAACACATATTGGATATTTTTTGATATGTTTATCTAAAATTTGTACAATTTCTCTCTTTGTTATTAGTTGAATTTGTAGAAGGATCTTTTTTGAGTCTGCGTGATAGATTTTACTCACGGGAAATTTATTTAGGATTCTGTGGTGTCTTTGACTCTGGCCTGTGATAATTTTTGGCTGCTTGAGAGCAAGAAGTGGAGGATGACGTCAGTGTCCACCCTTCTAGCAATGGGGTTCCTCACATATGACGTACGCTGCCATACATACATTTTCTCTTGCCTTTGGTTTTGGTGACTTTAAAGGCAAAGAACACTGTTATACCATATTCTACCTTCAGACAACCTGATCGATGTTGAACAGCACCAAGACACCGATTTACAGCATTCCTATTTTAGGAGATAATTACTGTTATGGAAATAATGTCCCGATCTACATTCTACTTATTGATTTATATTTTCAAATGGGAGAGCATATCTGAATGAACATAGTGCAATTGAAAAAAAAATCTAAGTTTTCTGATCCAGATGGTATTGATTATGGTCAGCCAAAATAAAATCAATGAATTGGCTGCATCAATTCCAACTACAGTGCTAAATAAGAGTTCCAGTTTACTCTATTACCCATTCCTAATAATATGACTTTCTGTGTCTGGAGTCTCACCATACTGCTATAGCTTCTAACAAACTAATACTCTTTAAATGTTGCCACATCCTTTCTATTCCATTCTATGGATCTTTCACATCCATTCTATTTATAGAATGCTAGAGACTACAGCCAACTGCCAGCCAACAGGTCAGTGCTTTTTAAAGTGTTATCCACCATGCGAACTGCATTGGAATCACTAGTATGGCTATTAAAAATGTATATTCCTGGGCCCCATCCCATACCTTCTAAATAAGAAATTACTGAGGCATAGCCAGGAGTTTGCATTTCACATCAAGTTCTCTAGTTGATTTTAACTGACCAGAAGATGAGAACTTTTCTAGTTGGAGTGTTAACATGGATAACTGCTGCTGAGCAACTGTGTATGATTGATTTCTCTCTGTAACTGCCCAGGGCAGTTATAAGACATGAGTGTTTTTCAAACTGTGTAGGCATACAAAATATCTGGGAACCAGTTAAAATGATTTCCTTACTCCACTCTCAGAGATCTTGATTCAGCAGGTTTGGTATGTAACCCAGAAATTGTATTTCTTAACCAGCCACACAGATAGGTCTGACGGTCTGGGTACCATACTTGAAGAAACACTGACTCTGAAAATTCTCCATTTTTAAAGTCAGGGCTTAAATTTCCCCCTCTGGTTTGTAAACTCCTTGATTCTTGTTTATCTTTATGCTCGACAGCACCCAGTTCATTGAAAAGACTCCAATTTTGCTTGTTGAATTGAAATTAACTACTGTAAGAAGAGTAATAGAACCGTAAATGGGAGCTTGATTCCTGAAGTTGTTTGGTTACTCACTCTTCTTCATTGGTGGGATGAGAGACAGCAGATATTTACTACTAAAAGAAGACACAAAGTGTTCCCTTGGGTCCTGGGTATTAACTGTCAAGGAGCTGGAAAGCCTCAGAGCAGACTCCCTTCTTTTGTAATAATAACAAGAATGAAGGACAGATGAAATGAGGCAAATGGATCTCAGTAGACACCAGCTCTTTTTTTTCTTTTGCTAATACGAGACATTAATTAAAGGTAAGAAAAAATAGATGGATTAAAAATGAGTGAAGAAAAAATATAATTTCAAAAATTTCATTGAAGGTCCACCAATAACGAACTTCATATAATTATTTTAGATTCTAAGGGTTTATCATATTCCTTCTCATATATTCTTTCTTTAATGGCATAGGACCGAGAAGGTAGAGTTGAGTAACTACAGCCATTTATGAAAACTCAAGCAGAGGGACTGCTGCTTTTCCATTTTATGAAACAGTACTCTTGATGGGAGCAGGACTGTCCGTGGTCACTGACAGATAACAGCTGGGAGGTGAACTAAGCATTTCAAACTAATAACAAACCTCTACATTTCTCTCGGAAAGTCTAGGAGTGTTCCACTGATTTGACATTACATAGGCAAATATTTCTCTCTCAATTTGTTTTTAAACACGAGAGACTATTCTATTTATGACAATAGTTATTTATAGCCCAGAGGCAAGAGAGAAACTTTGCAAATCCTGAGTAAGAATACTCAGCAGAATGACAAAACCAGAAAGAGAAATTTTTGGATTCAATAAACTCCTTGGGCATGACTTCTGCAGCCAGACACTAAGACCACATTTTTATTAGAAGCAGGAATTGGGCAAGAGATGGGGGCATGACATTTATGTTATGCTTTTGAAACAATGGAGAGGTCTTGAACTTGGACTTCTGCAATCGACTTGTTATCCACATGACCTCACTTGGGAGGTATCCACAGGAGATTTGGTCACTACTTCCTGGAGATCATTGAAAATAATCATATCTTTAATAATCATGAGAGTCTTTGATCTTTATTCAGTTTACTGAGTCCATCTCTTCAAATATTACTATATCATTTAGTTCCAATAACCCACCAAAATTTGCTTAATATTTTTACTTCGGGAAAAAAAGTTAAAGTCCCTTAAACTAAAGGGCAATCTCTGTGGAATATCTGGTGTCCTAAAGAGCCTATAATATTTATCAGAGAAATTTTAGAATGCTGAGTAAAAGCAAATCAACGAATTCTGCAATTTAGAATCTGAATAAGAAAGGCTTACTAAGAAAGGATATAATCTAAGTTGAGAACAATTAAACATAAACAAGTACGTGTAAATTAAGGCAAAAAACTATCATACCAATGTAAAGAATCACAAAAACTTACAAAAGGTTAGGATTTTGCTAGTTCACTAATAACTGCCATAAGATATAGAGGATTAACCTAGAAGTTCTATTGCTTTAGTGAGGGTCATTTCTATAGGACCAGAGGCAGTATGGTGTAATAGCCTGGTTATCAAACTTTGGCGTTTGGCATTTTGCCTGGGAAGTTGTTTAAAAATCAAAAAACAAAAACCTCAGACCTTCTGACTCAGGAAAACTCTGGAGATTCTGACTCAACAGTTCTGAGTTGAAGCTTGGGCATCCGCACTTTGTACAAGCTCTCTAGTGAGTCTGATACCCACTGAGGGTGAGAGCCATTGGTGTGCTGTAAAGATCTCTGTCTCTTTGGAGTCAGAAGGCCTGGCTTTGAATCCTACTTCTGCCATTTATTAGCTGCGTGACTGGGGCACGTTACCTCTTGGTGCCTCAGTGTTTTCATCTGCATATTTACCTACAATGCCAATCCCTGGACTATCTCATTCTGTGATCTCAGAAAACTAATGATGCAGTTATTTTCTGCTATTCTTAAAAACAATTTTGCATTAAAAAAATTTCAGTTCACTTTGCATAAGAATCTATAATAAATGCTAAAGGTGACACAATGTTCAATTCTTCATCTTGTTATGCTTTGTTCCCCAAGGTCATTTTCACAGA